GCCTGCATATATCTTGGCCCGGCCAAAACGGAGGTCGTCACACACTTGGTCTGATTTTACAGCCATCGCACACCTCCAGCCCTCTCTGTCTTATGTCATTGTCTCCGTCTCTTTCCGCCCCTCTGTTTTATTATTGCAATTTTGAGGCATGCCACTAGACACTTGCCTCGGGGGCGTTGCTTGTCGTTGGTTTTTTGCCACTTTTTTAGAGGTTAAGTTGCAAGTAGGAAGCGTTCGTGGAGGCGCATTTAATTTACGGGCACGATGCGGCACCAGCAGGTAAAAATAATAAAACGCCATCAAGGTGTGCAGCGCTCTTTGCTTTGTTTTGATTTTTCTGGCCGATGGGAGCGCGTTTTAATTAAGTATACGCCGCGTGAACGATGCGACTCGCCATATAAGGTGATGCCAGCAGATGATGCTGCAATTACAGGGAGAAAAATGCTGTCTGCTTGGGTCATTACTAGAGGTTTAGTTTGAACCACAATAGTCTTTATAGTTGGCATATTAAATAAGGAATTTAAATATGATTGATATATTTAATATTGCATATGCTCGATTTATAAAAATATATCTTATCTTGTCTCAAAATCAAATCAAAAAGCCTTATTGCAACAAATATTTTCTAGAAAAAAAAGAAAATGATTTTCATATGCATAAATTCTTATTTGCAAAGCTTAGATTGCGTAGTGACTTAAAATTTCTTTAATTTTTTTTTGGGACCCATTGCTTCAACAGTCATCTCATGCATAATCCAGCAGACTCCGCTTGACCTCCGGGCAACGGAGAGGTCAAACTAAAAAGCCAAACTCAATTCGATCGGTTTAATTACCCCGTCACTCGAACGTGGCCAAAATGCCAAGCGAGCCAAGGCAAGTCTCCCAGGTGGCCACCCAAAATGCCAGCGAAAAGTCGAGTTCGTTGGAAAAAATGCGAGCAAGTTTAGGTGACCAAATGGGGCAGTCGTCCGTCCAGTGATTAGCCATATATGCGGGCCAGTTGCACATGTTGTCTTGTTTTCATTTACTTTTTTTCTGACCACACCATTTTCCCTCCCCTTGACATTTTCCAGGTGACATTGACGATTGCATTGTGACGCCAACGGTTCAGGGGCAGTTCACGCCGCTTCCAGAGGCACTGTGCGATGTGATCATGGACCTCACCGCCGAGGGCCAGTCGGCCACCATTGAGCATGTGCGCGGCAAGCTGGGCGCCCGCTTCCCCCACATGACCACGCCCGCCACCGAGGTCATCTACGACTCCCTCGCCCAGCTGATGCAGGAGCAGAAGATCTACCAGACCTCCAAGGGCTACTTTATCTTCACGCCAGAGTGAGTTTATCTAAAGATATTTTATAACAGGCATATAGGCTATCTTGAACATTAAGAATTCTATAAAAAATGTAAATACCCTCTGCAATGTCAACTAACTCCTAATCTTCTCCAGGCGGCGACGCAGTCGATCGAGGCCGCGCAGCAATCACCACCAGCTGAATGGAAGCCTGGCCTATGGTCATCTGGCGGAGGAGGAGCAGCAGCACGGCGACGATGTGGTTCCCCAGGAGGCTCGCACCATGCTGATGTCCAATTCCGAGGCTCTGCACTCGCTGTACGGCGAAATCTCAACGGAGCGGGACGGCGACCTCACCCACCAGTGCATCCAAACGAATCTGGCGGATGTGATCTGCGGCGGTGAGTGCACCAGCACAATTGAATCAATCAATGCTATCTACAATCGATCAATAAATACCCAACAGGCAATCCCAATGACAAGATCATCTATCCAAGGGCGGCGAAACGACGCAGTGCATCGTTTCCGACGCCGCGCAGCTTGGAACGCCGGCACAGTTTGCGGCTCTTTGGCTCGTCGAAGCGCCTGCAACGCTGCGCCTCCACGCGAAGTCTGTCCAAGACCTACGCCCAAACGCTCAATACCACGGACAGCAGCAGTTCGGAATACCAAAGCACAGATTCGTCATCACCCAGTAAGTATATATCTTTAATATATATAGTAACTTTTCTTATCAAAGTGTTTTTCTTATATTAGAAAAAGGATCTTTGCTCTCACGCCTGTTCCGACGCAGCGGTCGAGCCAAGCAGCGACAAATTGAAACCTATTCGGCCCAATTCCCTCCAGCCGAGTGGTTCAACACCAGAGCCGTTCACCTCCACAGCGTGGGCACCCAAACGGCCGAGCACGTAAGCAGTTTACTTCAACTTACGGTTTAACATTTTACCGGCATGAACTCGTCGGATGGGGGTAGCACCAATATTAACATCTAAACAGTTGAACCTACAATCTTTATAACTCTCGTTTCCTTAAATCTCTCTCCACAGGACTTGCCCGTGGCCCACACGCTGTCCAACTCGACGTTCTACGACGGCTCGGAGCTGAGCCAGCGCTCCTCGACGTTGCCCCGTCGCCATCGACGCCACATGTCCAGCGAGTCGACGTTTCTGATTTCCTCCAGGGACTGCTCGCCCATCCGCCGCCGATCGCCGGTGTACTGCAGCAGTTCGCTACCTCGATCCACGCAGTCGATACCGGCCACCACGGCCAAGACGAATCACTCGTCCCGCTTGAGTCATGGTCACGGTGGATCGGTGACGCCAACGCCGCCAAAGACGGCACAGAAGTCGGTGATCGGAAAGCACATCTTCGAGAGCTCACCATCGCGATCCGCCACGCTGAAAGCGACGTCGGCCAAGCGCCACACGGACGGACTGATCATCAACAGTTGTCAGGATAACAAGGCCACCTACCGGAGCAGCCTGCAGAGCAGTGGTCCTTCGAGCCTGGAGTCCTGCAAGACCACCTCGATGCTCGCCAGCGGTCCATCGAGCATCGACAGCGGCAAGGTGTCCTTTAGCCAAAAGACCAGCGGCCACTCTAGTCTGGACTCGCAGTGCTCCACCAATACGGCAGTGATAGCGCCATCTACCAGCAGTAATGGTGGGAGTTCTCGTTCGATCCTTCTGCTAAATGGTTCCCCTCGGGGGACACCACGTCATCAGGCCATGAGGGCACGCGTAGCCGAGGCACAGGCTCAACGGCAGAGAGCCAGCACGCCCAATCGCATTTTGGAGGAGATGATATATCCCGCGGGCGGAAGTAACGGTGTGCCCACCTCCAGCAGCAATAACTCCATCACCCTGCAGGTGACCACCTCGAATGGGAACCAGAGTATCCCGAGCACCAAGATCTTTGTCCAAAACTCACCCGTGAGGAGTGTTATAACCCTGGAGAATGGCAAGATGCTGGAGAACTCTAATGTGTTCATCATCAACAATGAAACAATGACCAATGAGCGGGGTGAGATCATCAAGAAAACCTTGTCCAAGCAGACTTCAGCTGCTCCAATGGCCACGTCGACGCCCGTCAAGCCGGAAACTGTTTCCGAGCAGCCACTCAGCGAAACGGAGGCCAATTCCGAGACCTGCGACTCCATATCCTTCATCAGCGAGAGTTCCCCGGAGAACACATGTGCCGTGGAAGCTGAAACTCCAATTTATGATGGCGGAAAGTATGCGAAGAATACAAATAACGATGCCACCATGAACAACAGCCGGAAACTTTGCCTCCAGTTGGCCAATGGCATTGCCTACAAGAACAACGTGCTGAAGAACGAATCCCAGCCAAATTCACCAAGTGCAGATGCTCCTCTCAAACTGGCGGCGCTGGCCAAGCAGGATTTTGAGATTGCCGGCTCGGTGGGCAACCTGCATTTCTACGAGAAGAGTTCCAAGGATGTGGGTGCTTCGCAGAGCAATAACATGATGATGAACAGTAGCACGGACCTCAAGAATCTGTGCTATGAGTCCGTGAAGTGCTCCATGAATGGCGATGAACTGGCACTGGCCCATTTGCTGCACAAGTCCAGCAACCCTCTGGGTAGTGAACCCAACTTGGCTCTTAAGGATCTGGCCAATGATAAGTCCATTGATAAGGAAGCCATCGATAGGCGTCTCAGCTTGACCAAGGAATCCTTGGAGCAGGGAATGGGCAGCGTTTTGGCCAATGGCGGCGAGGAGCTGTATAACTTTCCCAGTCTGACCGACCTATCCTTCAACTTTACATCCCTGGCGGCGAGAAAGATTCTCCAGGGTGTGAGCCTCAACAGCATTGATACCCTGGTGGAACTCAATATGGCAGCAGCGGCGGCTGCAGCGGCAGCAGTCAACAATGCGCAGGAGAAGCAGCAGAACAACCAGCCCGCGGCGGCAGGACCAACTGCATCTGTTTGCACCGATTTTGGCATGGTCTAAGCCCAGGACCAGGGACCTAATCCATAAAAAGGCATCACCTCCGCCCCAACAGAGATCATCGCTGTGGGTATACCGGAGAATCTTCGCCTCTTAGTTTAATCAAACGAAAAATACCATAGGGTCTAGATAGGAGTTATCTACTCTACGCATTTGGCAAGCAACTCTTGTGTGTAATTTATTACAATTTGATTTCCCCATTCGATAGCAGCAATTTGTATGTATTTTCTTTAGGGTTTTATCGGAAGCAAACTTTTATTTACAGTGCCAAAATACGTTTAGATTAATTTTAATGCTTATTATTTCATATGCCAGTTCGTATTTCGCTTTCTACCACAGAGACACCGCCAAGCGGCTTCTGTTTAAGCAATCCGATTTATGTAAAAATCCACAACAAAATACTATGTGTTATCCTTACTTTTGTGTACATTATTCAAAATAATTTTTTTATACTAACAACGCCCAAAATGCAATCCTATCTATACAGACACGAACCGTAACAGAGATGTACTACGATCATAGAATTTAGCACTTAAACAGAAATACAATAATTTTGTACAAGGCCTTAATTAGTAAAGTCAGCAATAATACAAAATAAGTTGAATCACTAATAAAAACGATATAAACGAATGACGACAAATGTGTTTGATTGGGGAATAATTATCATTTTGAGGAAAATCTGTGGTCTCTGTATAGTCCCAACGATATCCCACCAAATAAGTAAAAGCGATCAACTGATCATTGGTATTATTTCCTTTCATTTATTGAAATTTTTAAGTCTTTTGCTTTTTCATATACATATTGTTTTGTTTTCATATACTTCGTGTTTGTTATACTCGTATTTAATATTTTAGGTTTTGGGTAGTTTTGGCTCTATAAATATGAATAATTATAGCTAATTGCTTTTAAATTAATATTCAGGGTATATACACACACACGCGGTATACACGAACTTCATTTTTTAGTTACACAAACATAATGTCGGGTAAAGAAAATATATAATATACATAGCGCACACTTAACGTGGGGAAGGTGTAATAACACCTATGCTAATAGAACTACATTCATAAATCGCTCTTGTAATTCGTAAAGGATTAGATCGAAAAGGGGATGGGCTTAGAAGTTGCCCAGGGGAAAAATTGGTGTTTTCAAGAGTTTGGACAAAGATTAGAATTATACAATTGATACATATGCATATTTAGAGAATAGTTATCATAGATCGTGGGTGTATTATATTATGCGGTTGTATATACAATTAGTTTTAGAAACTTATTTTTAGTGTGTAGATAGTGTGAAACAGGCAAAAATTTAATTTATATACATTAATATTAGCAGAGAACGAAGGAACATTTAAGAATTCACTATATACTCGTAAGCTGTGTGTGGGTTAGGTGTTGAAGAAAATGGCGTTCGGTTCGTTTCGATTCGGATTATACAGATATTTCATTCTATATGCTATATAGATTTAATAATTATCGCTTTGCTCAATAACTAAAATGTACAATAGATGACTTAGACCTCCGTCGACCGTCCGTTCTCATCCGTTCGCGAAGCCTTTCGCTCGCGTCCCGGTATTCGGCCAGTAAGTGGCTGCGCCTGAGCCTGAGCCTGGGCTTGAGCTTGGGCCTGAGCTTGGGCATGAGCCTGGGCCTGTGCCTGTGCCTGGGCTTGCATTTGTGCCTGCTGCTGGAGCATTTGCTGCTGCTGCATAATGTAAGCGGCCTGCGATTGCTGAACGAAGTTGGCATGGGTATATGCCTGCATTCCCGGAGCTGCATACACATTGCTGGGCGTGGCGATCGCCGCCGTTGGCTGCATGTTAAATCGCATCTTGGCTGCAGCCGCTGCATTGGCTGCGGCCGCAATCGCAGCGGCATTTTCCCTCGAGGCGCTGGAGTTGGTGGTGGACTGGAACGAAATGCTCATGCCGCTGTCCAGGGAGCCAACGCTGCCTCGACGCTGAGGTTTCTCATTGCCAACTGGAAGGGGATACAAGTTGAAGTCAGTAAGGTCTATCAAAACTAATTACAAATAATAAATTAGACATGCTATTCTATTTAACAAATCATTTTATTTGGCAATTTAAGAATGAGTTAAACTCACATTGCTCATGCATGTCGAGAAGGCTGTTGCTAAGCGCACTGCGCTTCAGCTGTTGCGAGGAGTCAGCGGAATTGGGAGCCTGCTCGCCAGCCGCCTGGGATCCTGGCTGATAGGGACACGGGCAGACCTCCACATCGGCCACGCCACTGTCACGATTCTCCGCATTGCCAGGTGCTCGATTGCGCGCCGACTTCTGGCGCTCCAGCTCGGCCTCAATGCGCAGCGACTCCATCTCGTCCATCTCGCTAATGGACTCCTTGAGATCCTCGGCAAACTTGCAGCGATCGTGTTCGTTGCGGGCATTGAAGGTGATCAAGATCTTGCCGTCCACCTTCTGGGAGAGTTGAATGCAGAACGGATAGTTGGGCATGTCCAGCAGGGTGACAACGGTGCCGCACAGCGGGAAACTGTTGCGGAATGTGTACGTCACGGAGGTCTTCTTTTTGCTAAAGATTTTGGTGATGACCAGCAGATCGTTGAACAGGAACACCTCGCGCTGATGCACACCAGGTCGTTCCTTCTTGTTCACATCGGGTATCTCGTATAGCCGGCAATAGCAGACGAGACGGCGATGGGGTAGCGCTAAATTGGGTTTCTTGCCTACAATTGTGGCTTGGACTTTCATGACCTGGGTTACATGGTCGCTGCCGGGTTTGAATTCGTCGGACTTGACGCGATCGTAAATGCCCATCAGCATGTCCTTGTCGATGTCATGACAGTCGTCGATGCCCCTTAAATTCTTGATAAAGTCCTCGACGCGCATGCGACGTTCTGGCTTGAGATTGGGCGTGTGCAGATCCGTGTTCAGCATGATGATGGCAAAGGCCAGGACAAAGATCTAAAAAGAAGGCAAGAAAGATTAGGGAGGAACTAAATTATAATAAACTTATAAACCTACCGTATCAGATGATCTTAGTCGCCCCACGATGTCCGCGTTGCATTCACAGTAGCGCTGCGAGAAGATCTCCATCAGGCGCTCAATCTTTTGTGCCTCTCCAGGCATGCGGAAGTAGGCCTGGAACTTTCGCAAGGCCACATCCACCTGGCGACCGGACAGATCCAACTCCATGGCAAAACAACTGAGCACGGCCATGTTGAACTGGTTCTGCAGATTGCCCAGATACTCGCCGATCATTTGGCGGGACAAACCCTTGCGTGTGATGAGGAAACGGGCCACGCCCTGTGGTGTATTCTCGAGGAATCCCCGCCTGATCAGATAGGTGATGCCCTTCTCCGGCTTCTTATTGAACAGATTGAGTCCAACGCGATACTGCCGCTTGCGTATCGTTTCCGACATCTTGTAGTTCTGTGCCACTCCGGCGGCAGCCGCAGCCGCCTGCAATTGCTGCTGTTCGTGTTGCTGCTGCTCATGTTGCTCATACTGAGCGGCACTCGTGTGCGAGGAGATGGCATGGTCATCGGCTGGGGGTAGTCCTCCTGCCGCCGTGGCCGCTGCTACGGCAGCCTGCATTTGTGCGGCATAGACGCCGGCTCCTCCTGCCACTCCAATGCCGCCTGAAACCGCACCCGCTGAATCCGCCGAGTGCGTGGAGAACTGCTGGGAGCTATTAAGCGCTGTTCCCCGCTTCCAGGTGTGTGGTGAATTGCTGCGATCCGAACCCAAATCGCTGTTGAGGTTACGTTCCGCCGAGGTCACACTCGAATCCGATCCGGAACTCTGCACGGAGGTCAGGCTGCCGTTTTCGGCGGATTTGCACAGGCCATTGGTCCTTAGCAGGGAAGGAGGTGGCGGCGTTTGGCGTTGCAGCAACAAAAGCTGTGTCTGTTGCTGGGCCGTGATGGAGCTAGTGCGTTTGGGCACCTCTGGCGGCACCTTCTTGCTACTACCACTGCCGCTGCCACCGCTACCGCTGCCTGTGCTGCCACTGCAACTGGGCGTGGGCGTGGTGCTGCCGCCTTTGGGTCGCATATATATTTGGGCCGCCGAGTAGTAGGGCGTGTGCGGGGAGTGGCCGCTGGTGTTCACCCACGAGGCATTCAGTGAGGTGTCCGCCGAACTGGCATAGCTCAAATCGTGCGGCGATCCATGGTAACTAGTGTAGTAAGCCGCCGCCGTGGGCAGTGCCTGGGCATTATAGTAATGCGGCTCGGCAGCGTGCAGAAGATTCACATGCGGATGGGAGGCCAGAGCGGATGTGCTGACGGTCGAGCTGGATATGGAGGCGGGAGAGGCTCCTGTGAAGAAAGAAAAGGTTAGTAAACCATTCTACAAAAGTAATTGGAATTGTTTGCCATTCAGGATAATAGTGATTTTAATTTTCTAATTGACATACAGAACTGGTAAATTTTTATAACTTTGATAAGACCGAAACACTTATTGATAAGAGATCAAAGACCCCTCTTTGAAGCCTAACATATCTGGTGTTGTTTGATAAAACAAACTTGAGACGCAAATTTTGTTTGTCTGGTAAATGATAACATTAAGAAAGAAACCAAACAAACGTATATATTACAAAGTTTTTTTGTTTATTACTTAAATAAATTATATTCGCGAAATGGCCTTGTTTACTTTTACATTTCAAATTAACCTTGGGCTTTCCTGAGATCATTAAACTCATATTTACTTGAAAAAGTCACCAAAGGGATCAGCGCAAACAGATAAAGTAAACCAATAACATAAAGTTAATTCGTGGAATTTTTAAGAACTTGGGGGTGAAACACTTTAAAATTATGGGAATCATATGATACATAATGAATATATTTTAAAGGCACGCGCTTGCTCTCTCAAATCAGGCTGCTTATAATTCATGAGTTAGTTAAGCTAGTCTAGGAATTTTAATCTTTACTGCTACTTTAATAAAACAATTAAACTGGGATTTTATGTGCTTATCTTTCTAAAAACACCCTTAGCCAATGCAATTTTCGTCACACTATTTGACATCCGGTGGCAGACGTTCCTTATCTTTACAACTCACCTGACTGACTACGCGGTATGGGACTGCAGTCCAGCTGACGTCGCTCCCGCATGGAAAGCGATCGTGTGGGAGGAGTCCGGGATAGACCCGGTGAAGCTGCTCCCGCCGGACCGGCCATGATGGTGACACGTGGCTGCTGCTGTTGTTGTTGCTGCTGCTGCTGTGCCGCCAATTGTTGCTGCTGCTGCTCGGTAAGCTGAGATTCGTTGGCACTGCCGTAGGCCGACGAGGAGGAGGCACCCTCCTCCGCCAATCCCAGGCTACTGGCCGTCACCACCATCCGTCGACTTAGACGCTTCTCGGCCTTGGCCATGGCCGTGATGGAGGCGAACTTCTTGACCATCATGTAATGGCGGAAGGCCCGCTGAATTGTGACCGCTGCGTTACGGGCTCGAACTCCGCCGTACTTGCGCTCCAGCAGCTCGATCTGTTTCTCCAGCAGATCTTGTGAGAGTTCGTAGCTAAAATATGAAAGATATATCCGATATAAATATCTTCAGGTATCCGGTTTGGTGGAATAGTAAGTGTGCGCTCTGCTTGGTTGGCTGGAAATTTGCAAATGACTGACAAAAGTCTACGCCACAGACCGAATGTTTTGCCCCTGCCCCGATAAGATAGCGCACGAGTGTATCTTTGAAATACAATTCTCTGGCGTCGTCACTGTCGCCCCTCCGGGCTATCGACCTGATTAACATTCGCCTCTCGAGGGGCGGCAATATTATTGCTTATTGTTGTGTGCCGCGCGCCACAACCAATCGTTTATTTCGATCGATACTCCATCTTCAGACATTTGAAATTAGTCAGCGTATGGCACTATATAGAGTTACTTTTCTGGGAAGTTCCCCAATTCGCAAACTTACGATTCCCTCCTAAGAATTTTCAAAGTCAGCTGCTTAGTAGTCCCCCCATTTGAATTATATTTACCAGCAAAACAACAAATGATATACTGCAGTAGGACCAATATTTACCTGAACGTCGCTATCTGAAGACGTTGTCTAATCTAAGATATCACCTGTATATCCACACCCCTGCTGGATGATGATTTTTCAAGTCCTCAAAGAGCGGACAAAGTCCGCACTCATTTGGCTGACGAATGGTCAATCCCACCAGGCACACTTTTACTTTTACAGATAACTAGTTAGATAAGCGATGAGCTTCTGTTGCTACCCTTCAGCTTGATGGATTGTTTACATAAAAGATTGTGAAATGCTTTAAGTAGGCAATTAAAGATCACCCAAAATTGTCACTTTAAAAAGGCATATCACTCTAAGGTTTAATGTTAAGCAAATTTAAACGCAGAAATCAAAACTAAGCATTGCCGTTCGTTTTTTGTTTGTATACAACACACACTCTAGATAATAAATTTTTAATCAGAAGAATTCTTCTACAGCTGATAAAAAGCAGACTATGAAAAGGCTCAGACCATGAATAATTTATTGCTGATTTTTTTAGACGGAGATATGAACTGATTACTGGTAATATCTGATTAAATAAATTGAATTGAAATAGCTAATCAACTTTAGAGACACTTTCTAGAAAAATATTACTAAATATATGCAATCAATGTCTAAAAATAAACCTTTTATGTGTGATTTTTGCTACTAGCCACGGAGTTGTTAAATATATGATCCTTAATTAAAAATGTATCTACCAACTTAGGGCTGATCATCTAATCACAATTTCGAAAGCATCTGTTTTTCATTAGTTTGTTGTGGGGATATTTTCCATAATCTCCTTCTAAAGTACACAATTTGATAGAACCCTCTTCCAAAATTATACATTTTGATAACGAATGCTTTCCGGAAATCTCCCTTTGCACCCCCTAACAAACATACACTTATGACTGAACATAATTCCCCGACCACTCCCCCAAATCTACATATAGGGTCAACATCCCCCAGGACAAACACTTACGCTGACTGAGCTCGCGTTCGCTTGAGGACATCTCCGCCATTCCGGATGGAGTTCTTCTTGTGCATATTCTGTTGCTGCTGCTGTTGCTGCTGGTGCTGCATGATCACACTGGTGGCTCCGGATCCCAGGCCGGTGCCCACTCCACTGCCGGCGATGACCACTGCGCCGCCGTGACCATGATGATGGGCATGATGCCCGTGGCCGTGGAGCATGTGATGGTGATGATATTGACCACCACCACCAGCACCACCCGTCGCCGTGACCTGCATGTAGTGACCTGCGTTGGTCTGGTGCAAGTGCTGCTGGTGTTGCTGGAGGTGCTGTTGTTGCTGCTGCTGATGGCACGTGGGATACTGCTGGATTTGGTAGACCATCTGGGGATGCTGTTGCGCAGGATAGTTGATGGCGGCTGAGGAGCTGTGGGCGCCGGGGGCATAGTGATTCTGCAGGTAGACATAGCCGCCGACACTGCCGCCATCTGTGCAGGAGGAGGCATTGGCTGATCCCGGCTGTTGCGCTCCAGCCAGTTCGTACTGGGTGGAACCGCTTCGCTCCAGGCTCTTCTGGGGAAAGCTGCAAATGGAAGGAAAATGGGGTCTGGTTAATAAGCTGTTACTATCACCATTTCTAAAGAGGCTATTATATGGCTGAAGCACTTGTTTCCTACACTCGTAATACTATCTGTACCATATACTATCTATTGATAATCAAACTTTTGAAACACAAGAGGGAACCTCTTGAATTAACAATGATTGGTATTTAACTTAGATATAGAAAAGGTATAAAATTTATTAAAATTGTTCTTATGACACATGCACATTATCATAATTTAAAGTAGGTAATCTAGGACGCCTAAATTCCATATAAATAATGGCTTCACTTCGGAATTTCCAATTCTGATATCAATACCAAGCCTTGTTTTTTGTTTATCTAAATAAGCAGATAAGAGAACTTTCGTTTTCTGGGTCAGGCCATGGGTTCCTACCTTTCGCCAATTATAAAACCCGATATGCAAATGATCATGATGAAGAAAATATCACAAAACGCTCAAGATTTATGCACAAGGCGGTGGTGTGGTCTTTCAGAGACACATTGGGGCACAGTTATAGAATGGGAGAATCACAAGATCGCCGCTAGATCGTTAATTAATACGCGGCTCGCGATCGCTTTACAATGATATTCAAATTAAATGTTGGGCGGTCAGAGGAAGCACTAAGAACCGGCGGAAGGGAAGATCTTTATAGAGGTTTGTATATATTATGGGCCAGGGTAACGTCCGATCCCGGCGATGTTCGCGTTTGAACTAAACCGAGCATTCGACGACCGCTCGACAAGGTGATCGACGATCCACAAAGTATAGGAAGAACTGAACTGCGCAAGCGCGTCGGCGGCGGACCCTCTCTCCTTCTCTCTTTCACTCTCCAGCCATCTCACTTCCTCCCAAAACGTGTTTCGCATGGCTCATTAAATTTGTGTGCGTGTGCGTTATCATCCTACACATATATAAAGAGAATCCCACACAAAATGCATCTGTTTTGTTTTGCCCTCGTCGGGTTACCCAAAAAAGAACAATTCTACTACCCCTAACACAAAGAAAGCGGATAAGGTATATAGAAATCCTAAGCGTAAAAGGATCCATTACTGAAAAGAGATAGAAGAACAGGTAGAGCAAGATAGAGATACTAAGCACGGCCATATGTTGTAAGGAAAGTGTAGGAAATGATTAGCCCACGATGACAAACTTATTGATCGGCACAGGGACCCTCGACAACTAGGGGGTTAATAAAGGAGATTTTTGGCAGTGATATATCTGGGATACATCTTTTTTAGGGATGGATTGCAGAAAGATCAACAGATGAAAACAGCAAAAGAAAAATGGTAGAAGAATATACTATCAGTTTCGTTTTTATAAAATTTCTGGAATTGCTGTATATTTTGAATGTTTTGGATCCGAAGTATTTAGTATTAGTGATTTTCAAAGATTTGTTATGCCTCAAAAAGAGATTTATAATATCATTTCGAACCCCATAGAGCATTACTCTTCCGTTAATCTATCCACCTTAACACTTAATTGATTTTCCCTTAGCTAAAAGACGAGATAGATTACCCTGAAATCATAATTCGATTTGCTAGAAAACTCCAGATAATTCATTATTTACGTATGTCATACGAATGACTACTAGAAATCTCTTCACAGCGGGACCATACCAGAAGATCGACATTCAAAATACGAGGGCAGCTGCATATTTGCACCTATCGAGAGTTGGACAAAAACAGGATCAACAGGATTGCCGAAGGATAATGAAAACAGAAAGTTGAAAGGGGCATCCTTGTTGTCTATCTCTCTTTTCCACTCTTTTTGCCAGTTTTCCAGCTGCACCTGGCTTGGCTTTCTATGGGTTTCTTCCACATGTATACATATTCCTTCTTATATTTTTTGAAAGGACAACAACGGCAGGTAGTTTTGCCTGTGGAACTGGCCTGTTAGTGTAGCCACTTCTCCGCGCATCCCTCTGATTTTTTAAGAGTCCTGCTTTCGAGAAGGAAAAACATCTGCCACACGTCGCCCTAATTGTTTGCCGTTGCACATTGCACATGTTGGGGCTAAATTTTCAAGCCTGTCCGTCTGTCTGTTTGACCATCCCAAATAAAAGGCAAGTATCTGCGTATCTGTGTATCTGAGTATCTCGTATCTTGTATCTCGGCTGACACTCGGCCGTCGACGCTCGCGAGCCAAAACTGCAACGGACTTCCTCCTGTTTTCGTATGCAACAAGTGTCCGAATCGGTTGACGTGACCCAACCGCCGATGGCCTACTCGCCGTAATTATTATTGATTTTACATTAGATTTCTCGGGTTTTTTGTATGTGCATTTTGAATGGGGGCTTAGCGCTTATGGAGTGTGCCACAAGCGGGCCAGACACTTGGGGTTGGGGGGAATAGACTAGGAGAAACTACAAACAGACCGCTGCCTCGCATTCAATGTATTTCCCTGAATATCAACATCAATATTAAAAGCTTATTAGGCACTCGAATCCCGGTTTCGTCGCCGGGCTTCTCCTCCCCTTGGTCGATCCTCCTCCAAACGATTGGCTTCCAGTTGAAAACGATTCCTTTCGAATGGCGATCCCTTGTTTTGCAGCAGAAAAGCCAGAGGAACACCCAGAACCATCAGGACAACGATGGCGTAGATAATCAGGAAATACCTCAGATCGAAGGTTTTGAACTCTTCAACCTTTCGAAGGTTGTGTAGTATAGTTGGTTCCATACTGAGTTTTTCTTCGCTCGACGTTGCAAGTGACAACAAGCTAATTTTTACAATTTAGACAAAAACAATTCGAAATTGACAGATGGGTTCAGGAAGTATTGATTTTACAAATTTTTAAGTGACAGTTTTTAACTGTTTATTATAAAAGGATTACCAAGAACTAAGTTGAATCAGTATTTTCCTTCTTTTTTTTGATTTGACATATATTTTACTTGTGGACTGCATGTATTTTACATTTACATATTTACTTGATATTTTAAGCCTGAAAGTATGCAAGCAATTTTGTTTGATAAAATGATCAAGTCTGATCTTAGCAACCACATGCAATCCGCAGCATTGTTAGCCAAGTTTCAAACCAATATGACTATAAATAAAAGTATTAAATTTAAAGGTTTTCCAATAACCCTTAATGTTATTTGTGGAATTACTTGTAAACCAATACCATTTCATAAAGGTAGACTGATTTTAAAGAATTTAATAATGTTTCTAGACTCGAGCATCCCGCAATAAATATTTACAGTACACTCCGATACCGTGCGTATTAATAAATAATTGAGTGGGGTTTAGGTTTATCTCGGCCGATACTCGCTGCCTGGGCCAAGAATAGTCAGCCCATAGAGTGGCTGCAAGCCCAAGAACAATGTCGGGGTCCCATAAAGATAACGGATAATAAAGAATGGGTGCGATAAGCACAGCACTCAAAATAATTAATAGAAATTGAAATAAATTGAGATTTATATCTAAAGTAATGAAATAAAATAATGTAGGATATTAAAATAAATACAAAGTCTACATTTTCCTAAAGTTCGCCTTAAAATAAAACACCTCATGGTATTGGTTTTCAAACATAAGTTGTGTATTTTAAAATGATTAACTACATTTTAGCAACCATATTTCAGAAAAATTAATAAACTTTTATTTTTAAATAATACTTTTTTATAAATTTACCTATTTCCTACTAATAAAATAAAGGCCTTATAACACATTTCACAATTTTAAAGAAACCTGGTAAAACCTACTAAAGAAATACAAATTTGTAAACAATTTCAAATTTGATTACCTAAATCGTATTTGCAAAAAACCTTTTCACATATCTTTTCATGTTGAGCTATTTAATATTGATTTGTTATATTGTTTTTTTGTATACCAAGTATGTATATCAATTTGGCATTATTACTTAAAGTAAAACTGCTTATTTAAAAGGCTTTTTCGTACTCTTTTTCTCTAAGTGCCTGCCCAGCTGGATCGAAATCGGTATTTGTATCCGGTACTCGGGATCGCGGTGTGGCGCTTGCTTACCTGACGGCCGTCACATGGTGCGAGGTGTGCGTCTGGGTCTCCTTGTGCCGGGTGGACAGGCTGACCACGGTGACGTGCCTGGTGGCGGTGCGCACCACCCGGCGGACCCGGCTCCGCCCATCGCCCACCACCACCACAATGGGCGGTGGCCTCTTCTCGCTGTCGCTGCAATACTGCAGGAAGGACTCACTGCCACCCAGATCCGAGTGGCTCGAGTGGTGGTTGGGGTGGTGGTGATGTCCTTGCGAGCGGGACGAGGATGAGGAGGACAGGGGCGCCGGAACGGGCAGCTGTTGGCGGCGGGACTTGTGGTTGTCGCACCTGGACATTGTCAGGTATTTTCAGGTATTCCTCATACGTTTTGGGGGTTGAAGAGGGGGGCTTTGGCGGCTTTTACTTTCGCCTTCACCGTCATGCAATCGTATTTTATTATTATTATTGGAATTTCCCCTATTCTTTCGCTCGATTTGGTTACTACTTTCGTTTATTCATTTGCAAATTGATTTGTTTTCTTTGTCGTTTCGTTGTTGTTTTCATTGATTGGTTTTATTAATTTATTTACGAACAGCTTCGCATCATTCTTTGCCATTTTATCTTTGGTTTAGTTTTGAAATTCCATGTGTCGGCGTTGCGCAGCTACATTCTTTTCGTTATTTAGTTTTTTCTATTTTTGTTGGAGCCTAAGATAAAGCATTTTGTTCGATAATAATTGCAATTTGTTCACCGTGACATTTCCTATAGCCAAAGCCACAATTTTTTTTTATTGTTCACGTATTGCGTATACGCCCCGTGAAGAACGAGCGTTTCGGAACGTCAACGATTGAGAATGCCCTTCAAAACGCGCTTGTCGTAAAAAACAACTCATAGAATACGGTTTATGACTGGCAATTGCTGGGGTTAGAAAGTCAGTATGACAGAGAGAACGAGAAAAGGAGAGCAGCAGAGAATTCTCAGATCATTCTGGAAATTACAGACTGTTATATACCCAAGATAAATAAGATGTTTAAAAAAAATACCCTTAAGTTTGGTAAAAAATTTGTTCTTTTCCTCCTAACATTTTTTTCTAGCACACCATACACTTTATTCAACTGCACTGATTCATTTTTTCACATGAATCACTTGTCGAATAAGGATAGAGTTATGGAATTAATTAAGTTGACATATATGGGCCGTTGTGGATTTTAGTTAGATGTCGAAACATTTTAATTGGAAGCAATTTCGAATTCCAACTGAGTCAGCAGGGGTTTAAATGTTCAATTTCGTTAATATGTATCATTAGATAAATAAGATGTGTTAGATGCATCAATCATTGGAACCAACTCTATTTTCAAAGCAATATTTGCTTTTTGGTTGTACTAAAACCAATTTAGATCGCAATTTAAAGATAACTTTTCGAGTAGTTCAATATTTAAGAGATTATTGATTAAAAGGTAATCAGTTCGATCATTAATATTTTCAAAATGTTAATAAATTCAGCCAGGAAATTATGGCTAGGTACAAAGCTATGTTGAAACTTCTTTGGGGAATACAGTACTATGATCATGTAAGACTTTCTTTAGCCCATCATACCCCACATTTCGATGCACCCACAGTATGCAGAATGACACTTGCAAAAACAAAATTGTTTTTGTTTATTAAAGCCTCAATGATGAGAGAGTCGCAGCTTGCAATCGTTTTTAATCAACTTGGCGGCTGTTCCGCTTTTTGGGTCAGCGTCGATTGCTGATCGCTGATCGTCGATCGCAAGTAAAAGTCGCAACTTGTCAACTGCAGACTAGAAAAATAAAAAATAAACAAATAAAAAAGAAAAAAGCGAAACAGCAGGCCAGAGAGAGTGGAAGCGGGACTGGCGAATAAACAATATTCAAATTGAATATGTCAGACACGCAGACATCGGGCATAACAACATCGATTTGGCACCAAAGCAGACAGGTGCATATCTACATATACAAACCGATATGTTCCGAAATGATCCAGACACACAGGGGACCTCGAAAACGTGCCTTGGGAAAGTGCGATCTGGCATCGGGCCTAGGCTCTATTTTATTTTATTTTTTTAGAAACGATCACCCACGATCTGATTAGCTGATTAGCTATCTACTGACCTGATCCACTTTGCACACAAAGGCAAAGGCCGCGTGATCATAAATCATATGAAAATTTATGTGCGAAGTGCGTGAGAATTCGCAATGAACACAATGAATAGAAAGGGAAATATACACACATATATATAAAAAAAAGTGTTATTGTCCCAAGATCAAGATCTCTTATATGGCTATGAATATGTATGCATGGAAATCGCGGCCTAAAACCCCCACACTTTCTTTCATGAGGTTGTTTTATATATATATATATATATATTTCGTTGTAAAGTTCAAGAACCTTTTTCGAGAGCCTCAAGAGCTTGAAAACGATCCCGAGACATCTCTGTTACAATTGTGACAACACTTGCCACTGTCTCTGGTTTTCGTTTCGTCATAAGCATATGTACGCTTTATAAGTATGCCATCCATAAGAACCGAATGAGTCGAGTAAAAAGCTGTTCAAACAAACGAATTTCGCTTAATCTCACGACTGGAACCCAGCCTTGGAACAAGTCATGGAATTATTGGCCAAAACAAGTCGCCTACTGCCAATATGTGAGTATAAACGCTTCAGGGGAGTTCTCAATCACAATCGCTTAGAATGCTGCCGGGGCCCACTCACAAAATACAAAAATACAGAATGAAAAAAAGAGGTTAAAAAACATACGAATCACAGCGCACAAAAAGAAAACAACAACTAAAAGCTGAATATTTGTGTTATTTAGCAACTATTAGTGTTTGTGGCTTTTCTAGTTGTTTCTGCTGCCAGAACAGTTCCAACTTGTTTTTCCCTCGTTTTTTGTGTGTTTCATTCGCTTCTGAGAAACTTTTGTTTGTAATTGCAATTTTGTCGAACAAGTTTTTCGTTGTTTTAAAGTTTATAAGAAAATTGTGTTGTTTTTCTGGTTCATTTTAAATTACGGTGGGTCTTGGTTGATTAGCAAATTACGGGTAGTTTTTATTCATAGAACTTACTAGTACAGTTCTAGCATTTCTAGTTTTTGTAAAACTACCTTTAAAGGACAAATACTATTATTATAGTTGAATAAGGAAGAGATATTTATGACAGAACTGCACAGAGGTGAAATTTAACTCAAATTCAAACACAACTCATTATGTTGATGGAAACATTCAATTTTTAATACTTTTTTAAATATGTTTACATTGCTGAAACCTTTAAACCTACTTTTAACAATTGCCACTGTTATTTTAAACTCAGGTCCCATATAAACAATGTCTCGTAGATCAATAAAACCTAATAAAGAATATAAAAAACGAACTGCTGTCCATGTTTTTGGTTTATTGTCGCAATTAATTTTAATTGTATTCCGAAGTTGAGTTTCGAGAGCGATCACTGTGTGATATATGGTATATGGGCAGAGCTTTGGGGCTCTGGGGGCTATATCTAAAGCTGCATCCGCTCTGGAGCACGACTTAAGCATCGGCTAAGGTTGCTTTAGTTGCAGCTTTTGTTGCAGATAGAGCTGCCTTTGTTTTACAGGTGTTCCACTGCTCGAGCAACAAAAGCAACAAAAGCAGCAAAAGCAGCGGCGAATGCAGGTAGGGAAAAAAGCAGCCACAATCAGTTGCAAAGCTGTTTTCTTGCTTGTATTGTGTTGTATAATTATTTAATTTATAATTATTTGTTGTGCTCTCCTCTCTCACACAAATACTTGGAAACAATCGACGGAGTTTGTTGCAGAGAAAACAAAATCTGTTTGTTCTTAATAGTCATTTCGGTATTCTAAATAACGTTTTAAAAATGTTTATTAATACCTATACTTAACATTGTTATAAAGGAATTTGTTTCGTTAAGATCTATTGCATGTGAAAAACCAAACAAACCACTAAGTCATTAAATTTGGAACCATTAAAATTTTCAATAACTCAAAATCAATTTTTTTTTAAAGTAAAATATTTAATTGTATGAAATTTTGAAGATAAACATTTTTTCTCAGCTCAAAAAATGAAGAAAAAATTTCGAAAGTTAAAACTGATTCCAGAATTTCAATTTATGAGTTTATGAGTATTATCTATTATTTCGAAGTGTATTGGGGATGGGCTATAGGAAGTGGGCGGAGTGAGGGGCGGAAGAAGAGGAAGAGGGACAGCCCGTGCTCAATGCTTTTATTCACTTTCGTGTCATTAGTAACGGCGCACGTAACAAAAAGCACGAATTACTCCCTCTCTCTGCTTCCAGTCGTTCTCTCCCTCTCCTTCTCTTCCTATCTGTCTCCGTTTTCTCTCCGAGCGGAAGAGGAAGTGGAAGTGGAAACACAATGTGCAACAAACATCGAATGCGGCGACGCAGCGTAATTGGGTGGCAAGCGATTATACAAGCCTGGCCAAAAGGCAAACCAAAAAGCCAACAAATGCAGCTAAAGAGCAAACGTCACACAGCAAACTCAAAAGCAAAAGCAAAGTGATTCAAAAATCGAAGCAAAAGCAGCGAAAACGCACTGGAAAATGCATCACCATTTTTTTTTAAGCGGGAAAAGAGAGTGAGCAAAAAGAGAGAGCTCAAAGATTGATTCCACTTTTTTTGGATCAACGGCTTTTGGCTTTCCAAGCTTTGTTTACCTTTCTGAATCAGCTGGTTAAGAAAATAAAGTATTTAAAACAGTTTAATATTAATGAAACACCTGACAAAACTTTAAAAGTATCTGAAGAATTTTTGTCATTGAAAATATTGGGTAATTACATTCTAGTTTCAGCAAATGTTCTTTAACTACAAAACTAAGGAACTAATCAAATTAAATATATATATTTTGTAAATTTCTTTCTTCTTGTAAAAACTTATTTAACATTTAATAAATTCATTTTTTTAAGAATTCTTGGTACAGTTTATAGATTTGTGGGTTTTTTTCTCCTAAAGAACATTTTCATTGTTTCGAAATGTGATGTCAGCTACGATGGGAAGTTCTGAATGCTTTTAAAGTATCTTTATGAACCATGTAAATCACTGGAAGTGTTTACGAGTGTTGCATTTTAAGTGCCAACAAAAGGTGATTCAAAAAGTGAGACCCCTTTACAACTGGCCTTATGCTAAATCGGTGAATCAGCAATTTTGGCGGTCAATTTGGGCAGATTTTTTTCCGGGAATGCCTGGAAATTTTTTCGACTTTGAAAAACAGCTCCCCCAAACAATTGCTACGAGTTCAATTACAAAATAATAGAAATTTCCAGTTGGATCCACACATGAAAATACAAAAAACACACGCGATTTATGTGTTGTTTGGTTCGGGGGGTTTTTTTTTTTTTTTTTTTGTGTTTGCCGAAACGTAACGGGGCAGTGGCCGTGGATCCCGCTCTTTCCACCGATCCCGCTCTCTTTCCCCGTCTCTTTCGCTCCCGCTACTGTGTTTTATTTTATTTAATTTTTTTTTTGCTGTTGGCGGCACTATTGTTTTTGTGAAATACTCGACGCTTGGAGAAAGGCGATTTTCTCTTTAATTATATTTTATTTTTTTACATCAAAAATTGTGGCTTGTTTCCGTTTTGTTTTATTGTGTTTTATTTGATTTATTTATGTGGCTTGGCTGTGACACAATGATGTCAAATTAATAAACAAATAGCAAAACAAAATGCTTGTGCGTGTGGGAAATTTGGCAATTTTCGGGTTTTTTGTTTAAACCATTTTTTTTATTTGTTTTCCTTTTATTTAGCACTCACATACACACTTTAATTTGCATTAAATTCATAAAAAATGCAATTTCGAAATATGTATTCGTTATATCGTTGGCTTGCCAAAAAAGCGTTAATTAAACAATATATTTGGAATATATTGAAACACACACGATCGGCGACTGCGACGCGGGCAGCGCTGCAAACGGCGACTGCGAAAGGTGTAGCCAGCGAAAAAACAACAAATAGCGCGGCAGAGCGACGTGTGTGCTGCCTCCACGAAGCTTTGACTGGAAATGAGCCACAAAACCGCTGCGAGAGCCTCCAAGTGGCGAGTGGAAAGAGAGTGGGAGAGAGTGCAGGTGTATGGGTGAGAGCAGCAACAATAGCCGCTGTATTTGTATATGTATTTGTTATTGCCTATTGGCCAAGTTTGTGGGCCACTCAAAAACACTGGCTAATATTGTTGTTATTTTTAGTACTAAGGGTACTAAGCTGTTATTTTCCACTTGATCTGTTTCAAAGATCAAAACTGGGAAATAACATACTGTCACAGCGAAGGATCAAATTTAGTCAAAAATGTAATAAGCTGGTTTGTTACTGTTATTATGCTTGGGTCAAGATATTAATTTCCACTTGATCTGTTTTAAAGATCAGTTCCTAAAAACAAGAAACTAAACTTGATCCCCCAACCGAAATTGAAACAAGCTTGCTTTTACCATAATTATATTTTGTAGATCCTATTTTTCTCCCATCTGATTTAATCAATAAATTTGAGATTGTACAACCGTTTTCCACCTATTTTTTCATATTTAAACTTTATATTTTGAATTTTTGACTGAAGTACATTTAATGTACCTTACATTGTAACACAAATTTTTTAGCCTTTAAAAGTGATAAAAACTATTATTAACAACACGTTGAGGTGAAAAAACAAGTATAGAAGTACTGTAACAATGTAAATTTACTACTTATCTAAATAAAAATGTTGGCCAGTCGCACACCTGCATCTAGCTCTCTCACAAAATGTATAAGCGTTGACGTGTGCTGTCACAGTGGGTCTAATTGTCATTATATAACCCAACGTATAACCCGTCGTATAACTCGCCTTGTAACTCGCCGTGTAACCCACCATATAACCCACCGTTAAAGTGCAGCAGCTACTAGAAAGTAACCGCTCAATTATCTCCATTATTTGCATTTTAAAGCAAACGAAAATGAGCTCGATTCAGATTTAAAACGCTTCGAAAAGTCTACAGCGCGGGAGCGTTGTGTTTTTCTCACTTGACTCCATTGTCAAATCGGGTAATTGCAAAACAGATCCGAAAATACGCACACACATAAATCGACAAACCGTCGTAAAGAGGTGTAAATTTGTATGCAAACGACCGAATCTCACAGATACAAATCCGCTCCCAGGCCAAACTCAAAATTGGAAAGAGATACAAAGAGCGCCAAGCTCGGCTCTCGGAGAATCGAAAGAAAAACAGCTGCTGCAGCTTGCAGGTGAGCGAGAAATCGAGAGGGAGAGCGAGTGGGAGACCCTGCATTAAAAGCGTGTGCTGTGCCAAAAACATAACATGAAAGATAGTCTTTGGATTGGAAGAGCGAAGATTTAGTACTCTAAAAGTACGATCAGTTCGGTTTGCTTGGTGGGATATCCTGGTCAAAATAAAACCTATTAAAATACTAGGTCATGATAATAAATCCTCTAAGAACATATTAAAAAAACTTGAAGTCTATTTTTTTAGGTTTATGGTTAGATATTGTAAAATTGACTTTAATCAAATATTGTAAAATAAATCAACCTGTAAAGGTACAATTTTACAAACCAATGTATACATTGAAGATGAAATGAAATGCAAATATTTAAAGGAAATATTTTTTAAGATATTTAATGGTATAATCGCAAAAATAGACTTATTGATAAGATGGGCATAATTTGAAATCATTAGGTAGATTGGGTAGGGGTTTTAAAAGATGTCCCTTAACAATTTGTATATAGACATCCATCGAAAGAGATCGAAAACCCAAGATACTTCGAAAATGCACCCAAGAACGTAGCACAATTTCGACCAAAAAACAGTAATACCCCCGAATGGAGGGTATATCGATTGTGGCTGCGCTCGTAGTCGAACAATAAGCTGGGCTTACGTTACGCTCAGGTGACTCACGAACCGAGCGAACCGCACTAAACGAGCGCTGAAGGGCGAGCGGGGGCGCTTAACTGGCGATGTGTTTTTTTATATTTTTATTGTTTTTACTGCTGACGTCTACATGTGCCATATGGAGAGGCATGTGCGAGAGTGTGCGGCATTACGGCCTGGTAGTTCACTTGGTAGTTGGTCCCTGGTAGTTGGTAGTTAGTCGCTTGCGGCGGCCCGCTAACAAAATGGGCAGCGTAATGCCTCACTGGCTTCACTCCGCTCCGCTCAGCGGCTGAGCCAAGCGTTAAGCCCGATGACTGTATGGCTAGCCAAGTATCCGAGTATCCGAGTATCTGGGTATCAGAGTATCTGTGTGTGTTTCAGACAACAAACCATTTATATCCGGACCTGCGGCCTGTTTTGACTTTTCATTGAAACCTGCTGCTCCACAGAGAACAATTACTATTTGTTTTTAACGCTCAATTTTAAGGCTTTTTGCTTTTAGCAAAAAACTAGATCACAAAAGTCAACCAACAAGCCAGTAACTATTAAAAATATTTACCTAAAAATCACTATGGAATATTCATACGTTTATTGGAGGAACCTGTATTTTGACCATATTAATCGATTTTAAAATCGTTAAATTGTTTTAAAATAAATTTCAACTTGATCCACAAATATTTTCTTTTGTTCAGATATACACACAAGAGGAAATAGAAAGAGTAATGAATGCAAGAATCAGTTAAAAAGTAAGCAGCTTTTAAATATAAGGTTTTTAAAAACATTTACTGCCTGCAGAACTTGTCGATCTTGAAGACATTTTATCAAATATTCGTCTACCAAAAACACCATAGGATATCATTTCCGGTTTACGGTTTTTAGTATCAAACACATATTTAGTATTGCATTTCTCAAACGTTGGCAATAAATACATGGGATATATAAACAAAGGAGGAGTTGTAATAATATGAATATCTTTTTTGATTTGATAATATCAAAACAAAAGTGACCTCCTTTTAATCTCTCTGTAATGCGGACGCTGTCATAGCTGCGGCATCGTTAAAACTCAGGTCGTAAACATATGCACACATAAAACCAAAACTTTAGCCACAGTTGTTCCCTGTACACAGCCCCCTTCTGGGCCCAAATGCTGGCTGATATTAACGCATTAGGTACAAGGTACACAAACCCATTTGCCATACTTGTCTGGGCCGAGTCTCAGCTGTTATGAAACAATAAACAGCCGTCAACGATGATGACAGCCCCCAAGAAACAACAAAGCCCAGTGCGGCGAGGGTTGGCCAAGGTATTTTAATTAATCCGAAGCCATCAGCAGGGGTTGCAATTCATGATAGCAGGAATCTTTAGTTAGTAGGTAATTTATTTTCTTTGTGAAGCCATCTAATAAAGAGAAGCTTTTGTATACAATGGGGCATATAAAGCTAACAGGTGATTTTAAAGGAAATTAGTTGATTTAATTTGTTCTCAGGGTTACTGAAAAACCTGGTAGTAATCATCATTAAATGCATCATTCAAGGTAAAATTAAATTGACCAGAATTCGTACACAATAATCCTCTTACTTTGGAAACTGCTAAAGTTTTAAAGCCGATTCTTAGTGTGTATAATGGAAATTTCTCTTGAAAGTTTCCTATATTTCCCTTCCAACCAACTCTTTAAACTCCCCACTGCCGCAGTGTATCTCACATGTGAAACGCATTTTATATTTCATTAGTAAACATCGCGAAAGCTCTGTCGTGTGTAGTTACTAACTATGCGATTACCTCGTTTGCCCCGCACTATAGCCCCCATTTCCCACCCGTTGTCTTCGCTCGCCTGACCTTAGGCATTTTGAACCCAATTTGTAAACAGTCGAAGGGCGGGCAGATGGGAAAGAGGAACCTAAACAACAATATTCATCAACAACCCAGCCAACAGACCTTCAGACCGCCCCAAAACAGAAAACCCAGCAAAACGATTGCAAGAGCTTAGGGCCCCGTCTCGATCTCCAAACCCCGGACCCAACCTCCCTAATATATATATATATATATATATAGTATAGCTAACCGATTCCTACCTTCAACTTGCTGCTGGCGGGGCCATTGAATTGCTCATTCGGTCATGGCTACACGGCTTACCTACTGCCTATATAGTAGTAGTATACGACTACTGTACTGCCTACTGAGTCGCCGGCTTTCGGGCTCATTAGAAAGTGAACGCCGCTGAGAGACAAAATGCGAGACAATGCGCCCAGGTCTCTAGAGCGCGGCTAATGAAGCCTGACAGGGCCAATATCGGCCAAGGGATCGGATCACGATCACGATCACATCACAATCGAGATTCGCTCGCCCCTGTCATTAGGGCTTTTCTCCATACACTTGCAAGCTGTACTTAAAGTTAAGACCTATTACTATTCACTTTCACAGACTTTTGCTATAATTCCCTTCCAAGAAATCTTACGATTTGACCAAATGTGCTTACTTATAAATTTACTGATTTGCTTTATTAGAGCTATCAGCCAAATCAATGAAAGTTGTATAGAGAAAAGGTTATGAAACTGTATAATTCAATTATTAACGATATAATCGAAACACTATGGAGCCTTATCCCCAAGGAATAATAAGGTATAATAACTTTCTTAGTTCCAAAATATGTGTACGCCTAAGAAACTTTCCAACTATCTGTATTACCGAATTTTAAAGGATCCTTAAAAACATGTTAAGGATCGAACCACCAATGGATTCATACTATCAAAACCTCGATGTTTTTTTAGACAATCTTTAAAACTTTCCAATTAAATCTGTGAAGGTATTAAATGATCCTCATATCTTTTATTTAAAATCAAAATACCTATTAAATCACACCTTCCAAAGTCAAATGATCGATCTACCAGAGTATACCCATCTTCGATGTCCGAATTTACCAATGCTTTTTTTGTGTCTTCATTCAATTAAATCAAAAGTATAGCGCACGAAGATGAGCCAGTGACGGATGATGAGATACAAATGAAAATGTCGAAAGAAAGAAAACATGAAAGAGCAACAGCTGAGAAAGAAGGGGGTGCTGTGCGATACAAAAGATACAACAAAATTATGTTAGTGGGAAATTTTTGTGGTTTCATGAAGTACAAGTACGAGTAGTACTCACACTCATTGGAATCGGAATCGCGGCGACTTCACTTTCACTTGCACTTCGCCTTGCCCACCGCGCTTTACTTGCTGTGGTGCTGGCCATGAATGAAAAAAAAAAAATACAAAAAATCCCCCACCCTCTGCTCTACCACCCCCTTTTTCCCCTTTCGCTGGACAGCCCAGTGGTTAAGTTTTTTTTTTTTGTATTTTATTATTGTGGTGCTGCTTCCATACCGCCACTGGCGCCTTCATCAATCAACGAGCGGCGGGTCTGAATCGCTCGATGCTCAAGTGGCACATTGGGAAAGTTCGCCCACAAGGGTTCTGCGGTGCTCGTTAGGCTCTAAATCACGTATCACACGCCCACGAAAGACAACCACCCCCAAGCTAAATCAGCAGAGAAAATAATATAGCTCACATAAACTCATATTCCAGACCAATAGAATCTTATTTATTCAAAAAATACAATGAAATATGAATTATAGTAGCATTACCATTAGGTTATTGCAATAAGTGTGACCATGCTTAGAAAAATATGGTCAAAACTAGGTTATTTGCCTTATCAGATTTTTAATTTAATAATACTTTTACGATAACAGCTTTCAAATGATATATTTAATATTAAAGTTTCGTATCACTCACAGAAACAAAGAAACAATTTTATTTCCTTACAGAATTGTATATTTTCCTAAGTGTAGGTGTCTGTTTAGGATTACAGCTCTCTTGGCTTTTCCACTGATTTTAATTTTGAATTTTTCATTGGAATTTTCATGTTTACAAGCGATTAGCAGCTTATTATTATTACTTTTCGTCTGCCTCTTTGCCATTTGAATTTCAATTTCTCAATTTTTTCTTTGTTTTCTTGCACCCCTCCCCGATCCGCCCTTCTATTGGCTCATCTTGATGTTGTTTGCCGCCGAAATCGCCTGGAGAAAGACAAATCTCGAGAGCTTTACATAATCCACACTCACACAAATGGTCATCATTATGCGAAATTCATTTATTCATTTCCTATTTTTGGATGGATAGTGAATGTTTCGCTGCCTTTCTTACTATTCTCTTGTATTCTATTTGATTTGATTTTTTGTTGCCTTTTTTGAACAGAAGCTAATGAACTTGAAAGAGTCTTCAAATAGTGAAAACACCGGTCTCGGGTAATTCAGGTAGAAGGCGAGATTCATAATTGTTGAAGATTGTTGGTTGTAGTTATATAATTTGTCTTTTGATGAGTCTATTATAATGTCAGTAAGGTAAAAAGCAATTAACTGGCTTGCTGAATTAAGTTTAAAATTAATTAAACGGTCGGGGATTTATTTTGTGGTAGGTTGAATTTCTCTGACATCTTTTGTAATTTGTTTTTTGAATTTTGTTAAAAACTTTGGATTCTTAAAAAATATTTCTAGTGCCTATACTTAATAAAAACATTTTTTCCATACACGATAAATTTTTAGTGTTTTCATTTAACTGTTTAAGCTTAGATAAGTGATCACTTGATATGTTATTTTCCTATAACTCAATCCCTCAACCAAAGATCTCATTTCTCACATGTATAACAAGTAATTATGTACACATTGGCATATTTCTGATTCATGGGTCAATGGCTTCCTACCGATTGCTTGACTTCACCAGGTAGCTACTTATACTGCCTTTTTTAAACCCTTGTAAGGTCTGATTAATTCTATAGAAATTGCATTGCCAGGCTGCATTTCGTCAGCTTCAATTCAATGCAAATTACAGAGGCAACTGAAAACAACAATGCGTCTGCGTCCGAGTCTGAAATTGCTGCTGAATTGGGCAACAACAGCAATACAACAAAACGAAACAAAAGAAACAACTAGGGAAATCTAAGCAAAACAAAAAACACTTTTCAGTTGGTTCTTAGCTTACTTTACACAGCAAAAAAACTTTATAATCTCCATACAGTATTGGTTTAAAATTAAATGAATATCCAATGACCCAATAACATGCATTAATATTTTAAAGTTTATGTGCATTTAAACATTTAGGAAATGTTTTAAGAAAATGAAACTTGATAGTGAAGAATGGTATCTTATTGTGCACGTATTCTCTGACAAGTTGGGAGTGTCTGTGTGGAAAGGGGCGTGGCGGGGGGCGGTGGGTGAGCATTCAAGAAGCGAGTAGCAACTGACTAAAAAGCCGGCTCCAAGAAATTTGGCTCATACATAACTAGGACGACGACGACGCCATCAGAAACAACAGCAACTGCTGCAAGAACTGGTTAACTTGGCTGTTTGGTGTGTGCCAACCGGCAACCGGCAACTTTCCGCCCCTCCCCCTTGCCCCCCGCCAGCGATTGCCCCTCCCCCTCTGCCGCCCACATGCATGACGTCAACTTCCCCAACTGGTTTCGCACTTTAATTTAGATGCTTTTATGCGGCGATGCTCACCGGGTTTTTTGAATTCGGGCATGCAGCACACCTCATCTGAATTTATTTGCTTTTTTGCATTAGGCCTACAAACCCAGAAGCCTATAAAATGGTAATGGCGCAACTGGGGACAGGGGCTGAAGATCCAGTTGAAACGGGAAGTAATCGTTTTAATTTCATAGCAACATATAGAAAAATGCAGATCGCTTTAAAGATTGTGTTAACATGAGAAAATTTTCACATCCAATTTGCATTGCATTTATGAATTGATTTCGGAAATATTTAGGTGATATCCCAATAGCATATCTAACTTCCATCAACTATTAAAAACATATCTAAAGATCTTTAGTGATATCAACACATTATTCCGTAAAATCTTCTTAATAGCACACGTGTTGATACCCTTTTCCAATGAAGAAAATGCTTTAATTGGTTTACCTAAATACTTAAAACCTCCGAAGGTATTACCAAACATTTTTACTGTGTACCTGGAATATCAGGTTGCTTTTAACGTCCACATTTCTTTTAGGCATATCAATCGACGAAAGTCTGGCATTCAATTAGCGCTGGACCAAAGTAAACTAAGCCGTCCAATGAACGTCGGAAAATGTGAAAACGTCTGAGCTGTGGGTCACGTGGTCGGAGTAATCACTGCCCGGAGTAATCACCTTATGGAATAGGGCAGCAAGACCACAGCTCAGCGACAAGCCAACAATGGAGGCAGTAAAAGTGAGAAAGTCATTAAATAATCCCACGACTTTCAACTACTGGAAAAGTCTGTTGCAACTCCCGACTGTCGACTGACGACCGACGATAATGAGGGGCACGGGGTACGAGATTTGAGAATAATGAGCAGTGGAGACTGGGAAACAGAGAAAGAGGTAAAAAATAAAAACACTTCCCATCGCGTGGAGGGGAAATGTCAAACAGTTGATGCTATCCAGTAATCGGAATAATTCCGGGCTTCGTATTGAATAACACGCGCTTACAAGGAAAACCAAAACAAACAAAAGGGAGAAATGCAATTATTTTTAATTGACTTTTTTTTCATAGTTACCCATTCGAATATATCTAAAATTTAAAAATGCTAGTTTGAATGTCTCATCTGCATATTTTTTTTACGTGTGCAATTTGGTGAGTAAGCATAGCATTAATCTATATTTTACAGGAAGAGGAATATTAAGGCATGACGAATAATCTTAAAGTTTTAGATTAGTATTCTCTGAGTTCATGACTATACAAATCGCAATGCCACCTTATTAATAAACATTTTTGTTATTTACGTTTACTATATACATTCGATTATATAATTAGCAGTTATTATGCATATTCATATATCCATATATATGCCAGGTTTCGACAGTCGAGATCGGAATATTGATCGTAAACAAAAATTATAAAACTTTATATAAAAGGTATTGGTATATTTTGTAACCCTTTAAATTGTCTGGGTAAATATTTATTATTATTATGTATTAACTAATGTTGATTTCGCTCTTTATTAAAATTGTTGTGAAAGATATATATTTTTCATTTGCCACCATGCAATAATGAATCTACAAAATATTCAATTATAAAATCACTGGAGCAAAGATTAATTCCTGTTGTTCCCCACATTTGTTATTATACTTCGATTAAATATAAACACAAAAGTGAATTGTAACACCTGTGCTTATCTGCTATCGGCAATAAAGCAACCCGGATATTGTAAGCCCAGTTGGTCACTAACTACAAATGTTATTCTTTGGAGGGCACTATCATCGGATTAGATAATGTTGTCTGTGCCGCAGAGACCCATTGATGGTTATGTACATATAATCACGTGTTTATCGCTGGAATTTCCATGAGCGTGCCTTCATCGTGAGAGTTCTGCTGTTATATCGTACCATCCACCGTCTATATAACACCAACCACCCCCTTCTAACCACTGGTCATGCAAAACAACATTATGTATATACACATTCAGTATGTATTTTATGCACGAAAAATGTCAGAGTTCAATGTTTATGTGTTGCACAGTCGATGCCACAAAAATATACATTTCGGTAGCTTTCCTTTATTTTTATGTATTTTCAGATATGTTTCTGCCATTACTATGATATAAATTTGAAAGGCTATATTGATTTTTAATTAGATATAATAACTCAATTGTTTTTCTGTGTTCTTAGAAAAGTTACACAGTTGCCTGTAAGTACTCCATAATTTATGGTTTGTTTTCATTTTCGTGTATTTTCTGTCTTGTTTTCTCAGCTTGAACTAATTTTTGCTAAAGTTTTTGTTATCTTCAACTTTTGTTTGTTAGAAAACTTCACCCACTACCGAAACCACCATCACCATGCGCCACCTATGCAGCCAACTGTGGAACTAAGCCGCATTTGATGCCAAACTTTATTGCATACTTTTCGGCATTTTTGGCGAATTTCTGTAGCATAGCGCTGAGCAAAATATTTCTTTTATTTTAAAACAAAAATTCCAACTTTTGTTTAAAAAGAAATTCATAAAATATGCAGAGGTACAATGGCTGCATATTCAACCAGGTTTTCTCATATAAAATGTATGCGGGGGAATTGTTTGAAAATCACTTGCATACTTCAGTGCGGCAAATTAACAAACTCGTGGAAACTTTTTTGTGAGTGACAGGGAGGGAAAACGAGGGAAGAACGAGAAAGAGATGAACGCCCACAATCCGGAAAACTCGGATGAGCTGTGTGGGCGTGGACGTGGGCGTTGGAAGGCGGCTTCGACCTTTTGTTGTTATCAAAAGCCATGGATATGCTGGGGTTTTTTTTGTGTTGCACATTCGAGTATGAGGCAAACATCGTGTGTGGGCATTAGCCCATCAAAAGTGCACTATTGATGGGGCCGAAAAAATGGGGGCGAAACGGGGGGTATGGGCGTGGGCGGGGGCGTGGCTGGGAAGCTGCAGAGCGGACAGAAATTCCATTTATTTTCGGTGAGCAAGAGAGAGAGAAAGAGAGAGAGCAATTGCGTCACAATTGTCCTCGAGCAAAACTAATCGAACCTTGAACTCTGGCACTTCAGTTGCAAAAATCTGTGGGTGTATAAAGGGGGGGGCGGCGTGGGCAGACAGAGCTCTTACAAGTGCAAAAAGGATAATACGCTCTAGAAATTTCTAAAGGCAATTATAAAATAGGAGTGGTTACCATTTTACAGCACAAACAGCCGAAATATTAAAAGAAATGTTATTCAAAATAGAAATCATAGGATTTTACTATAAACTATAATATTTATAGTCCTTTCTATTCGAAATATTTCTTGATTTTATAAATCTGTATTTTAGTTAGCCGTATAATAATAATAGTATTATATAGCTGAAATGAGCTAATAGCTAATAAGAAATAAAAAATTCAAAATATATAATAGTTCTACAACCAAAATTTAAAACTATGCAAGACATTGACAAAATTGTAAGATGTTTACTACATAACTGCGCCCATCTTTTTAAAATAATCTATTTCTAACCTAGTCCCTCAGCACTCAAAAGTATATCTTCCACCCATGACCCAACTTAAAACTAAGGACGAATTCCACCAGCCAAAAGCAACTTACCAGTAAATCTCATTGGAGGTAATCATATTGGTGGTCTTGTAATACTGGGCGGCAGTGTAGCTGCTCATTCTGCTGATGTGTTGTTATTTTCTGGGGGGTGGCGATATGGGGGCTCCTAACCAGGTCCCACTAACTAAGTCCCTAGTTAGCCGCTCCTCTTCAATTATGTATTAGGTAAATATAGTTAAGGCAGAATGTTCAGTGAAACGGAATCGTTTTTTTCTTCTTGTTGTTGTGTTTGGAACTAGGTTCTTGTATGTGAGTCTGTTTTGTTTTTGGACGGTATACAAACACTTTGGCACCGATAAATATGAAGATGACGAAAAAAATCAATACGTCGGGGTGAGGAATTTCAAAATTCACTTTGAAGTCTGTGCTTCTTTTTTTCGCGATATATTTTTAATCGCAGTCGGGTGTAGATGGATATATAAAATATATATATAGATGTATATATGATTTTAAGGGACGTTTTTGGGGATATTCAAGCGGTGGCAGCGACGTCGACTGCGGCAGCGGCGGCAGACAGGCGAATACATACACGTACGCGAGGGGCGGGGGGCGTGGCGACGGTTGGTAAATTTGCGAAATTCTGCGGCACTTGTTTGTGTATTTTTTTCCGTGTTATCTATTTAACTTTACTTGTCTGGGGATACTCCCTACTAATTAGGTAATTTTTGACATTTTTTTTTTTGGTTGGGTAAAATACTGCTAGGCGGAAAAGCGTCTGCGAAAAACTAACGTCGGCTAACTGACTGAAATGGAGTACTGAACTGGGTAAAATATTTCCATTACTGAAGGCGTCGACGGCAGCCAAAGCGGCTCCTTCGCTCTCCGCGCGAGAAAAATGAGTGAGAGCTGAGAGGAAATGCGGAGAAAATAGAGAGCGAGAGTTTTCCAGACAGATGTCTCTAGTGCGGGTTGTTTTTTCGTTCCTTCTGTTGTTTTCTCTCACACTCATCAGAGGGGGTTGCAAAAATCCACCAAATGCAGTTGTGTGGGGGGAAAATGCAGCGGAAAATGTGCCTCCAAAAAGTAACTGGCGCCCAACGTGGAGAAATTCCACCACCCCCTCAATTTTAATTGGCCTGAGAAAAACGCTTGCCAAATAGTTTTATGACGCAATTTAGTGAACATTAAAACTCGTTCTTAAAACGACCATTAAAAGCAATTTCCGGAGAGCAACAGAGAGAGAGAAACAAAATTGGGGGCAGAAAAAGAGAGAGATAGAGAGAGTCGCGTGCGAGAGGGTTGCAATTTATTAGCGGCTTTTGTTTAAATCATAATAAGAAAAGGAAAACAAAACAAAACAACTTCCAGAAAGAAGTTCAAAAAATATGTTTTATGCAAAATCAACCGCCAGGATATCCTCGAATATTCCCCTTCTTAAATATCCTTGCAAAATGCAAATAACAACGGAAATTTACCGACAGACAGTCAACCCTTATTTGCGAGTGAGAGGACGAAAAGAGAGCCAAAGAGAGGGAGAGCATGGCATTGCCATCACGAAACCCAAAGAATATGCACTGTTAAAAATTAGGGGTCAAAATAAATTACTTTTAATAAAAAACAAAAAATAATATTTCTGTAAATTGTATTTGGTAATACAAAAACACTTAAAATGAAAATTTTTAAATTATGGCTTTTGTTATTAACTTATTGAAAGAACCTAGCTTTCTAAATAGCAACATAAAATATAAATATTTTTACCTCAACTTCTGATAGGATGAACTCGAATGCCAAACCTTGATATTTATGCTAATAAAGCATTCCAGGCTGTGGGAAACTTTTCCCTAACCCAGTTCATCAACTCTTATTGAGTTATTTAGTGGGTAATCGCACCGAGCCAAATAATTGAGGTGATTACCATAGTTACCATAGTTTGGATTGTTCGACAATAGGTAGTATCACCCCGAGGTCGCTCGACATCGTTACCAATGAAACTCAAAGACCAACCGAGGAATCCCAGGCGCAGACACAGTTCCCATATGGTTTGTGCCCATGATTAGAGAAGTGCAGCATAAAAACCCAGAAAAGTGATAGCAATGCGCCACCCTTCTCTGTCTTCAACTGGAAATACCCGTCCATATATCCCATATAAATATATATTGCGTGTCTGGTGCGTGCTCAAGTCTTGCTTGCTTCTCCATGGGGAAGATCCCAGTGGGTTCAGTGGGTTCGGCGGTTCGGTGGCACTTTCTATGGCCCCGTTGCATGCAACCTAATGCAGTCTAACCCACACAAAAGGTCTCTTTCTCCAGCTTTTTCTGCAACCCCGTCTTCCCGCCATTTCCTCATCGCTTCCACAAAAGAAGCCGAGACTTCAACTTTAATTCTTGGGCGCGCTTTTCAAATACAAGCCGAGCAATAAAGTATTTAATAATCAACAACAGCAGCACCAACAACATCGACAACGGGTAATTGCAAACTGCAATTGTGAGCTGCACTGGGAAAAACAGCATGAGGAGAGATTTAAAAAATAATTGTATTTATAATATGAAAATGACTGATCGTTGTATTTAAATATTACATATTTGTCTAATATTATGAGTATTATTAAGTTTTTGTATTTGTATTATATGATTAGCATGTTGTAATATTTACTTATCACTAAAGATTTCCCTGAACAATTTTAATATGACAGTTTATCTTAGTGTAGCCACCCAGCAAGCCCACTTCGTGCATTTTATTGTGTGAACAGAAATCAACTTGGAAAGAAGTTCAAAACTCTGAATGGCTTCTCAAGACATGAATATTTCAGCGAGCCGCAATGAGGGGTTCCAAGGGAGTGGCTGTGAGTGGGGCGTTTTAAGGCACAAACGGGACAGAAGATGGGGTGTTAGTGTGGGAGCTATTTGCCCCGGGGTCCACGCCCATCGAATTGGGTCAACTGACAATGAAGCGCATCAAAAATGCAACTGCCAACGAGGATACCAACAAAAAAAAAACCAAAATGTATAAAAGACAATTTTCCGTCAGATAAGAAGGAAAAGTTTTAATCTCGCCTCCACCTAAAACCAACCAAAACCAACAAAAGCTGAAAGATCTCAGGATGAAGAGGGATCCAACTTATGAAGAATAAACAGAAAAGAGCAGCCACAATATTTTCACATTCTTTTTTATCATTCTCCAAAATGGAAATGAAACGCGGAAAAGATGATGATGATGATGATATGATGATGAAGAAAGAGGGACTGCTGCGCGAAAGGAAAGACCAACTTCGAGATGCTCGAGATGAATTAAGCGCAATGGCAACAAAAGATTTTCCCTCTTGGCTGTCATAATATTGAAAGACGCCCAAGGCTGTGGGTGGGGTGTGAGGTGGACATATATCATTTCGAGTGTATAGAACAGGGAACTTGGGGAA